GTCCATGTCCACATGCAGGGACAGGAAGCCCTCTTTTCTGAGAATATGCCCTTAAAAGAAGTCATTGTCCATCTAACAAAACAGCTGTCAAAAGCATCCCCAGCAGGGACAAATATGAGGATGCCCTCCTGGACTCCCCAAGATACTTCCTTGGAAACAGGACAAGGTGAGTGGGGTAAGCCAAGGTACTAGAGGGATGTTGTGTGTGGACTCCTTCTTGGGTACAACTTCACTGAGTCACTTTATCCCCACACAGGAGATAAAGATAAAAAAAATGGAGACAACATTTATCACATGAATGACAGTATTACTAGTCAAGGCAATGAAATACCTTCCCTGCTCATTATCCAGGAAGAGGACTGTCCTAGGCTTGAAGAGGACAGTGTTTCTTTGAAGAATCTGCTCAGCTCTGGAAGAGCAGGTCTAGGCACATCCAGGTCCAAGGAAGGGTCCCTGAAGGGACCCTCATATCAAGATGTCCTTATAGAGGGGGGACCAGGGTTTCTCTCTCAGTCAATCCAGGTCATCCCTGAGCCTGTTCCTACCCACCAGAGGACTGAGGGGAGCTCCACATGTGGGGGACACCAAGGAAGATGCCATGAAGCCCACAACTCATACAGATGTGAAAAGTGTCCCAAGATCTTTAGGTATTTCTCTCAGCTAAAAGCCCATCAGAGAAGACACGATAACGAGAGGACATTTACTTGTGCTGAGTGTAACAAAGGCTTCTTCCAAGCATCAGACCTACACGTGCATCAGAAGATTCATGCAGAAGAGAAGCCTTTCACGTGCAGCACGTGTGAAAAATCCTTCAGCCACAAAACCAACCTCCTGGCACATGAGAGAATCCACACAGGGGAGAAGCCCTATGAATGTTCCCTCTGCCATAGAAGGTACCGCCAGTCGTCCACCTACCACCGCCACCTGAGGACTCACCAGAAAAGTGCCTTCAGAGGTGTTCCTTCCACACCAGAAGCTTCCTCAGGTGCAGCCCCAATGGAATGATACATGAGTATCAATGCAAATATGTATATTTCCGTAGTACTTCCCTATTTAGAACATACACTTTCCTGATTATATTTTCCATTTATTGTCTTCACTAAAAAGTTTAAGGAGGAATTTCTCAGTTCACTAGAGTATCTCAGGTGCCTAGAAAAGTGGCTGACAAATTTCAAATAAACAATATCTGTTGAATAAATGAAGCTGTAATGTTGGTACTATTACTTAATCCCGGAATGTTCAACTCCAGGACACAAATAGCTCCCAGTGGTCAAGTGATGCTTTCCCTCCTGCTCCCCTGTGCTCTGTCCACACTTTTTATATCTCTCCTGGACCACATGCACCTAAACTGGGAAGTG